AGTTAACAACTTCAAAAGAGGAGTGTGAGGCAGAGTAAAACACATTAGCAAAATTCACAGAAAACAGTGAGACAAATAGTCTGCCCGCAGGATATGTTCCCTAACCCATGTAACTTTGAAAGGCTTACTGCTGCCCAAAACTAGTTCCCTCGTTGCTTTAGCTCTATCAGTCACTTGCATTCTAGGTGCATAGAATTTACAGCAAAGAAACTATTTACTGTTTAACAAGCCATTTGCCCTGGCCCCAAATGATCTATTTAGTTCTTATGCCATTTTGTTGCTATGCTAACCTATTCCCAGTCTGTTTCATCTAGTGCTACTTGCATGCCCTTCTCGTCCTTTCTGTCTCATGTATTTTGCCTCCCCTAAAGATACTCACCAGAACAAATCCATGCGGTAGCAATTTTCTACATTGTAACCATTCTCCAGGTAAAGACGTTTCTGTTGTTCCCTATTGGATTTATTTGTAACTATCTTATATTTGAGATCTCTAGTTTTGGATTCCCTTCAACTTAGAATCACGGAATTGTTATGGTGTAGAAGGAGGTCATCCAGCCCACAGTGCCTGCACTGATTCTATTACCTAGTGCAAATCTCCTGCCTTTTCTCCATATCCCTAAACACAATTTCTATCCAAATAATCATCCAATGCTAGCTTGAACGCTTCAATTCAACCTGCTTCCACTGCATTTCCAGGTAATACATTCTATACCCTAACTACTCATAATGTGAAAATGTTTTTTTCTCATGTCACCCTTTCTTTGTTTGCACGATGTTTTAAATCAATGTCTTCTCACCTTTTTCTGTCTTTTATGAACAGGAACAACTTCTCCCTATCTACTCCATCCAGCATATTCATCATTTTGAAAACTCATGTCATAAATTTAAAGATCTCTACTCAGTCTTCTTTTCTCCATGTAACAATGCATGTTAAGTGCACCTGCATTGATACAATCAACCAATGGTGTTCTTTTCTGTTCTCTGTTTTAAAAATATTCTCTAAGATCTCAGCTTGATATTCTAATCAGCTTTAAATAATGCATTTAAGCTAATGTATTTACCTTGATTTGCTTGCAATTAAATTCATCCATGAAATTAATGAGAATCTATTCAGAATCACACTTGACAGTCAAAATCTACCTGAAATACGCAAGCAAAATCAGACATACACACAATAATAACTGTTGAAAATGACACAGGAGATATAAAATGTAGCTTGCTAGATTTGTAATACTGTTGTCAGAGTATTGTACCCAACTTCAGCCTTACTTTAGAAAGGATGCCAAAACCATGGGAAGTGTACAAAAGAGAATCACTAAAATGAATTGAGCGGCTTTAAATAAAAGTAATTGGAAACATTGGGATCCTTGCCTTTAGAAGAAAAAAGGTTCCTTAGGCATCTTACAGGGATGTTCAACATGATGATGTATAAATGAGATTATTTGAAGAAAACTATTATCATTGGTTCACAGGCAATATCTACAGGACAAAAATTAATAACCAAATGAACAAGGAAGTAATATTGACCTTCTTACCAGTCATTTATACAACTGGAATAAGGCAGAAGAAATAAAATCAATTGAATAGGTCGTGTTTTATTCCCACATGTGGCCTACTGCTGCTATTTTCTAGTTGAAACAGACAGGAGCCTTGTTAGCCTCTGCAAATTGAGGTTCTACAGTAGCTAGCAACAGGAGCCAATACCGGAAACAACAACAACCTATAAAAAAAATCTGATAACCAATTCATATGCAACATTTGAGGCAGAACCTGCTTCTCACAGATAAGACTCTTCAGCCACCAGCTAAATTACCATGTATAAAACTGGCTCATTCTCAAGGATTTGACTTGCTGCACCTCCAACACTGTATGCAAATAGATCATGCTGATGTAGGTTGGACACCAACACATTTTAGATGTAGGTCTTGTCCAACCCTAACTGAAAAGCAGTCACAACATTATCCTTTAAAGGGATCACTGCAGTGAAAGATAAAGCGATCGTTTAGAGGGAGATTCTGTTAGCTTGCTAAGCATAAATTCCTGCACACTACTCTACCAAATTGGACTGGCTCTTCTCTTTAAATATTTAAATATCTTTTGGCAGTTTGATTCAGCTCTGTGGTTGGGCCATTGGATTTCTGCACTGACAGTAGATTATTTCACTTCAAATAATACCAACTATGACAAGTTTCTAGGCCTTTAACCCACCACCAAAGGTTTGTGCACCTCAAAATCCTCCCAACCGCATTGTCCCTCCACCTTCTGTTCAATCATTATCAAAATTCGAAGAGTCTTGGAAGAATGGACTTTTAAAAAATATATATATAATACACTGTATGCATGGAATATCTTAACAGACATGGGGCAAAAAGAAAATCTAAAATAGCATTTTTTAGAAAAGGACAAACATTTGACAGAAAAATATAACAGGGTGGTGGGGGGAATAATTAATCAATTGATCTGTCCATGAAAATCTACTAAGGATTAGATTTGGTAGTTCGAGACTAGTCAAAATAACTCTAATTTCTAATTAAAAAGAATGATTCTCTTCCCGTAGAAAGCTCTCGAGGCCGGGTGATTGACTTTATATGAGGCAGAGTTAGATTTTTGATGGATAAATGACTCAAAGGTTTTGATTGTCAGATAAGAAAGTGGAGCTGAAACCATAAGCAGTCATTAACTTATCGAATGGTGGAGCAGGTTCGAAGGGCTGAATGGCCTACACATGCTCTTAAAATGTGAAAAGAAGTCAAATCTTGTGTACCAACTCTTAAAAATCACAATTTCCGAAAACTTATTTAATGTAAAATATTTCATATGAATTTTATAACACTATAGTTACAGTATTATATTCACTTGCAGTACATTACTTTAGGGAGAATGTCAAAGCCATGGAAAGCATGCAGAAGGGTTTCACAATGATGGCTGAGAGTGAATAGAAAAACTAGAGCTCAATCTGAAGTGGCTAGATCTTTCTCAGTGCTGGCATAGGCATAATAGACTGAATGGCCTCCATCTGTACTGAAATATTCTGTGATGGTAGTTTAGATAATTCAGGCATGTACAATGAGGTTCACAAATGCATACCATTGTGATGTTCACTTAAATTACAGAAGTTATATTATGAATATACAGAAGAAAAGGAAGTAGAAGTGATCACTTCTTAACATAGATTATGTTGAAAATTTAAACTCCCCCACATGCTTTGGTTCCCTCTATTTTATATACAATTGTTTAAACCTCTTTTTTGTGATTCAAATCATTTTCTTGGTCTGCGCAAAGACAAACACTGGTATTACAAACTGAACGCACTTATTTTTCCGGATGTGCCATAATTTTAGTTAGAAAACACGTTGACTCCATCATCCCCTTAAACAGAAACAATATTAAATATCCTCCACTGCATACCCTCATCCTTTCAGAAGCAAATCCCAAAAGCCTTAATGAAAACACATAGGACATGTTCGCTGTTTATTTATATAACAACTAAATGCGGTGCTAATTTTTCCAAATATTATGAAAACATGTTGTGGTTTATGTGCAACGTCAAGACTGCACTGCACTCAATTAAATGTGAACATGAAATTTTGGGCAATATTGCTTCCTGGAGAGATATCCAGCACCACAGTTTTGCATTAATTAGTTCGGCTGTGAACCGTACTTTGCTGACAAAAAGACCCACTCCATTGACTGCTGTTCTAACCAGAGTGGCCCCTATTCAGGAGCAACTGTCACGTTGTCTCACCACCTGTTTGGAACTTTTGGAAGCACAAGGCAATGCAGTGCCCTCCAACTGAAACACACACCTCCCCTCGACAGCTGAAGACTGGAACCCCCACTCCACCCTCCCCGATGCAGCAGTTAGTTGTAACTAAAGATAGCTGGATTTTTAAACAGTCACAGGGACCTCAGTCCACATCCAGCGCAAAAGCTATTTATTTTCTCTCTCGCACTTGACAGCTATGGGGAATTGGTTTCCTGGCATCCTATTTCTTACAGCGGCCTCCGCCTTTTATACAAAAAAATACCTACCCTAATAAGCTCCCATACCTCTATATTTATAACTGCTAGTCACGAAAGGCCTTGCAGATCTATTTATAATGTCTTGAAGTGACTTGAGATCAGAGGTGATTGCCATAAAAAGAACTGAGTTGTTAATCTAACCTTAATTGATGTATTCCAGTTGACGAGGATAAATATTTTTTTTCAATATATCATTTGGCTCATATTCTGGGGCGGATTGGGGCCACACTTCCTCGTTCACAGCAACTTATATTTTTTTTCCCCCTGATCTAGTACCCCTGAACAGGCTTCTCTCTTTGTATGTTGATGACAATTGACTGGTTTTTTTAAAATTTAACCTATTTTTCCTTAATCAACCTGTTCAGAGATGCGATGACACACCTCGGGAGCAAGGTGGGACTTGAATCGGGGTCTCTCGGTCCGGGGTGGTGGGGTAGGAACATTACCACTGCACTAAAAACGGCTAGAAAGGGCACGGTTTGTCCCGAGCCTCCGCAGACACTCGGGCATGTGATGGTTGGAGCAACGGAGGTGGAGAGCTCGCAGTGGGTGAGACTTGGGGGCGCTGTCAGCAGCGGCTGCAGAGGCGGAGGGTTCGGCGCACAGATGCCGGGGTCGGGGGGGGGGGGGGGGGGGGGGGGGCGGCGGCACTGAAATCATCCAGGAAAACCGCTTTGGCAAAAATCACCGCACCCACCAGCCTAAAGAAGAAAAAAAACAACAAAAAAAAATCAGCGGAGGGCCTCAGTTTGTATAACATGTGCCTCCCTCAAGCACACACAACGAAAGATTTGCTTGTGAATTAGAATAATAGAAGATGGATCACACAACCAAAAACAAAGGTCGGACGCTCTATCCACGAGGAAAACCTGTTCAGAGCGAGAGCACTTTAGCCTTTCAAGGCTGTGGGAAGCTGTAAAATAAAGGTTTGTGGCTCCCGAAGCAGGAGATCGCGGCGGTGGGAGGAAGCTGCCTACCTGCATGTGTTTTCTGAGCACTGTTTCCCATCCCTTCCTTTCATTTAAAGCAAGGCAGAGCTGCTGGCGGTTTGTTTCATGTGGATCTCAGCAGTGCTGTAATTTCTGCTCCGGCTTCAGAACGACCATCTATCTACTCGTGGGAGCAGGTTGCTTCAATGAAACACACCGACAAGGAGATCTTCAGGTTCCAAAGTGATCTCAGTCTTGCCTTCGACACAAAGGATCCTGCTCCCCAGGATCGGTTGATTCGAGCCCCTTTCTTATCTGGGGAATCACGCAGGGAGTGTAATTGGCCAGGCTACCCCACACACACACACACAGAGTCGGCACTGGGAACGACCCCACCGGTCCCCCGGACTTAGGAAAAGTCAACTACTTCCGACTGCGATCTCTAATGATCCTGGCAACGGCGCTGCCTATCTCCCGTCACTGCATCCCACCGCTCATTCCCCCGGGCGAACCGAGAGCCCCACTCATTGAACCGCACAGCCTTCGACAGTCCTGCCACTGGATCACCCGCTGATTATCTGCGCCGACAGCACCAACATTTCTGTGATTTTTTTTCTCTCCGACAGCCTGATTCCCCCCGCCCCGCAACCCCCACCTCCCCACACACACAGTCCTCCAGCAATCAGAAAACTGATTCTTATTGTGTGACAGGCATAGTGTGAGAACGACATCACGCCTTAGGAATGCTTTATAGAAGCTAATGTACAGAATAACCCTGGTATAATCAGGTTGGATTTTAGAACCCCTGTGTTGGTATATCATTTCATATGGAAGTTTGTAAAAATGTACCAATCAAATGAATTGAATTTCTGCAGGGTTTCTCCCTTTCACCGCGAAAGCAGAATTTGCTCACATCTCCATCCTTTTTTTCTGATGTAAACATCGTAAGGTGGGAAATTCCAGCTTGCTTGAAAGACAATCAAACCAACTGCCTCATGATAACTGATTTTATATCCAAATTCCACTTTATGATGAAAGTGAGTTGAGGTTCTAACTGAATAAGACCACTCTTAAGCCACATAACTTGGCCAATCATGTATTGAGCATCAGAAGCACAAGAAGGTCCAATGCCTCTGATACAGTGCCAGCGCTCTGTTTTATCCATATCTTATGATTCACGCTAAACATAACAAGCATTGCATGATCTAGATAATAAAACAATAATATCAAACTAGGAATCGATGCCACATATTTTAGATGGCTTTCAGTACAAATTCGTGAGTTTTAAATCCCACAACAATAAAAGGTATTAACACAGAAGGCATTAACAATCTTCACAATTGTCCTCAACTTCATCAAACTCCTGGTGTTTCCTACAATAGGTAAGTCCATGTAAAGTCTATAGCCCTGCATATGACCCACAGATAAGCTACATCAGTCTATCATATGCCTCTAATAAATGTCACTATGCAAATATTCTCTTTCAAAGTCAAAATCGAAAAGTGGAAAGCAAAGAAAATCGAAGTAAACCCCAGCACATTATAAAGACAATCTGGGAATTCTTCCTGGCTAAAAATGTATTTAGCTTACAAAATGTGTCACCATAGCTTATTCAGATTGGTTGTGGGAAAATAAGTATGAACGTTTCGCTTGGGTGGCTATGGTGTTAATTGATTTTTTTTAATCCAGTAGTGTTAGTAGTCTTGCTTAGAGACATAGAATCCATGGTAGATTCATTCCAGGGTCGGTTTTAACTCTGAGCACTAGTGAAAAAATAGGAGATATCCAGTTGGCTAAAAACTGAGATGTGTATAACAAACTGCTGACTTGCTGTCTCCTATTTTGCATTATTACCCAAAGTTAAGACTACCCCCCTCCAACAAGACTTTAGAACTTAATTAAAGTTAACTCGATGATGCAGTCACTTGAAGTTTTGCTTTCTAAGGTATGATGTGCTTTGGATTAGATGTTAAACTAAAACCTCATTCCCATACTTAGATGGTTGATAAAATTTGAAGATGAACCAAAAGCATCCTGCAGTCAATATCATGAGAAAAATATTTTGCTGCTCATTCACCTTCTTGCTATTCATATGATTCGGTTGTGTTCAAAATGGCTGCTGAATTTGCCTACAGTTTGGTTCGATGTATGTGAAAAATTCAGAGATATAACAAGGGGTTGTTCACATGTAACTCTTTACAAATAGATAACAAAAAAAACTTAATTTTTATCCAGCAGTCTAAAAAATCAAATATCTGGGCCAAGTGATTTTGTGTTTTCAATGCCTGCATTTTAACACTATAACAAGCAGTAGCGATATAATAATGGTTATTCAAACATCAGGGTTTGCTGGATCACCAATATTAACTATAAATTATTCAAATACTGACATAAAATACATTTTGATGAAAAATTACATTTTTAAAACTTCACTCTGCTACCTTACTCTCCCATTTCATCTTTGTCTCCTCTTCTATTCTTGATCTCCTAAACTCTATTTTCATTTTTACCTTATTTATCCAAATTTATCAATTGACATTTGTCTAAATTTAAAGCCTCTTCCTAACTATACATTTTGAAAGTGGACACAAGTGAATGCTTGATTGTCATAATCTGAAAGCTAGTTTTAGAATTTGAATTTTCAGCCAATCAAAAATTGCAAGAGGAGAATAATCAAATTGGTGATTTGTCCCATTGTATTGTCATTGTTTCACGTGGCTTTGACATTATGGAGACTGTCAGCATTGTGGCAGTGGGGTAGTGGTGCTCCAAGGTAAACAGTGAGTGATTTACCACCCTGTTCCTCCAGACATGACATTTGGCTGTCCCTATCTTCCAAAGGGTGCAGTGCTGGGTGACAGCAGTACTTAAGTCAGGCAGTAGTCATTTTTCAGTTGTTAAGTGGCACCTAATAATATGCATAGGATTCAGTTTGGCTTTTGGGGAGAGCATTGAGTGGAGTGGCATCAAGCATACTTTGCACATTACTGAGTGGTGATCCAGCTGAAGAAGAGCCCAGAAAATAAGTTTTCATTTATTTTTGTGGGCATTGGAGGATCAACAGAGCTTAGTTCTGTTTCTCCTCTTCTGAGAGCAGATCTCCTCTGTGGACATATATCAATGGTCATTCTTTTTGCAAAATATATGTGAATAACATGCAACATTTTATTTTCTTACATTTAGGATTTGAATTTGAATTTGAATGAATTACTCTAATTGGTGGGAGGAGATTTGAAATTAGCTACTTACTGTATATTACTGTAGTCAGATGTAGGTCCCTTTCTGAATGAAATGTAATTGTATGCTCCCATGCCAGAGGATGAAGATTTTCCTATTTGAATCATCAAATACCATTATCTTCAAAGCACCAAGCTGTAGAACAGTTTAGGCTGGATTTCCTTTCTTTCAGGATGGGACTCACACTCGTGACTCCTAACCCACATGACCCTGACACAGTTTCCTGAGGTGGGCTGTTTCTCTTTGTAGTGCAGCAATTTGTTGAGATCCTTGGATCAAAAGGAAATCTGGCCACTATCAAAGAGCAAAATGAAGATGGGGCTGCAGCAGGACATCCACTGGAGTAGAATCATGACAGAGTGGCCAGCAGTGTTCCTTACATAGCATGGGTTCATCTTCTAGTTTGGGGTAGAGATTCATTCTGCTTGGTTGTTGTCATACTGTTATTTCTGATGTTATAAGGAATAATAAAAACTAAAATACTTTGATGTATTTCTAAAAATAGACACAGAACATCTCATATAGAACTTTTATTTCATTCAACACACTGATGCATTGGCAATTGATTGCTGAGTAAGATTCTATGAAATTGTTGCTAATCTTGCAGTTTGTAAATTCACCAATGTTGCCATTTCAACTCTGCAATTGAAAATTTGTCCAAACTCAAAAAAATGCCTGCAGATATTGAGTCTGTTATAGTTTTTGTTTTCTCAAGGTTATAAGAGACTAAGTTACACAAGAATACAAATGCTATACACAACGGTATGACATGCAGCTCACAGTGGCAATGCAAATCAGATTGTGAAATACTGAGGTCTAAATTTTCACTCATGGGTCAGGGTTGCAGAGTGGGAAAAATTTTCAGCTCCACAAAACTGACCTATGAGAAAATGTCTTGGATTCCTGATTTTGGTTCTGGAGTGGTTATCTATAAATGGGAGTTGGGCCACTGCCTCTAGACAGTAATTGGAGGCAGCTAGATTTGGGCTGTGTGGAAGGCCCACTCTCGGATCGAGGAATTTGTTGCAGCTTTCAAAAAGGCACTAAAATTAAAAGCAATCCTACAGCTCTCACAGCTCATTCATGTCAACCCAAGCCACCTCAAACTGTTTACATGCCATAGGTATGGCCCTTTATGCTCTCCATGTAAAACTATCTTGCTACCTATTCCCAGTTTGGGGCTAACATATGCCTACTTATATTTCACTCTTCATGTCAACTAGTGTTCACCACTGGGAGATCTTGAGACTCGTGTTGAGATGAAATAAGTTAAAATTCTAAGTGTCAACTGATGAATTTGTTTTGTTAAAATACTCTCATTGATTAAAAAACATTGACTACAATTAACATCTTTCAACTATTTAATTCTGAAAACAAACACTTGAATTCATACACCAATCTAAAGATTTTATGAGCACTTTGGGGAATGAGTGGCACAGTGGAGGAAGAGATGGTACACCTGGAGAGGGAATGGTGTACTGGTAACATCACTGGATCAGTAATTTAGAGCTTAAGGCTAATGTTGTGGGAACATGGGTTTAAATTCCACCATAGTGACCATGTAACCATTATTTATTGTCATAAAAGCATGGAAGATTCAGAAATGTGCTTTAGGGAAGAAAATCTAACAGACACTGAAAAGTAATAATTTCTTCTCACTTGAGTTTTCTTGCTTCCAGCTTTAATGCTAGTGTGTTTGATTTCAGGATTTTATTAGACTGTTAGAAAGTTTCTTTTTTCCAAACATGCTAAAATAACTCCGTGCTCTTGTCATAGAAGACTGTGCAAGCAAGCCATTCAGCCCATCAAGTCCACACCAACTCTCTGAAGGTAATCCCTCCGAGACCCATCCTATCTCTGTAACCCTACATTTACCATGGCTAATCCACCTAGCTTGCACATTCTTGGACACTGTGGGCAATTTAGCATGGCTAATCCACCTAACCTGCACATTGTGGGAGGAGAACAGAGCACCCACTGGAAACCCACACAGACATAGAACATGCAAACTCCGCACAGGCAGTCAACCAAGACAGGAATTGAACCTGGATCCCCGGCACTGTGAGGCAGCAGTGCTAACCACTGTGCTACCATTGTCTGGCTCTTGCAGACAGTACACAGTATGTACTGGGTGAGTGGCTATGAAGGATAAATTGTGGTAATGGAGCTAGAATGGGGTTTTTGAAGTGGCATGGCATGAGGGTGGGCATGTGAAATGGAATAGATTGGCTGGGCATTGGTGAAGGGCTGTTGTGGCATGGGTTGCCATGGGTGATCTGAAGGGCACTAGGTGGTATGAATGTTGGATGGGGATAGTGATGGGGAGGTTTGGGGACTTTTAAGCAATGTT